ACTCATCCAATGGACCATGTAATCCCAACATAAAAGACGGTTCCGATGATCTCAAATTTATTGAGCCGATAAACTACAATGAGTCTTGAAATATTTTTTACCGCCCAAAACTTTCCATTTTTACTTACTCAATCAAGCCACAATTTTCCTTATCATCTCCCTTGTCTCTCTCCTCATATCTCTTTTCATTAATCCAACAATCTCAAAATATAGTTTCTTAGCCCAAAAATTCCATCTTTGAACCACAAAATCCGGTACACAACCACATACTCCACTCTAGGTCTTCAACTTAAAAGAAAAGGCACCATTTGCTATTTTAAACTTGCAAAGCCTTTCTCTTTGCATTGTATTGTAGTTAGCTTTTGAACAAAAACTTCCATCCTTCATTTGTCCTTTTAATTTACTCTGTTTGCACCAGTAATCATCTCCATTCGTGATCTAATTTTGCACAAAAACTTCCATCTTTCATTTGTCCTTTTAATTTACTCTGTTTGCACCAGTAATCACCCCCATTCGTGATCTAATTTTGCACAAAAACTTCCATCTTTCATTTGTCCTTATAATTTATTATGTTTGCACCAACAATCACCTCCATTAGTGATTTAATTTTATAATAATTTATTGTGATTGCTGAGGTATCTAGCCAAGTTTCAAAGAGCGCATCTGGTTTCTTAGTACTTGACATTTTCATTTCCTAACACAAAAAATAGGCAAAAGTTCAATTAAGATTGCCATGCATTTCAACATAAATTCTGCCATTTGATAGCAATTCTTCATGGTCATGCACATCCTCTGTTTTTTTGTTTCTTAATTTTATCTTTTTGGTTCAGTTTTTCATGGACAGTCTAGAAGCACGACTGTCACCCACTTCTCTCTCTCTTGCACACACCCAGACACCACTATGAGCACTCTCTCCTTTCTCTATCTTTGGAGCTCAGCTGCTTCTCCACAGCCACTGCGTGTTTGGCGAAATGTCTCAAAAAGCTACTTCTATTGATCGTGTAGTTGCAGCAAACGAATTACTGGCAAACAACATGTACCAAAAACCTGATGTTTTAATGGAGCATTTATGTTAGTCTATACACTGCCTCGTTGACAGAGAGGTGCTGCGCAGATGGAATTAGTGGGTTTTTCATTCGATTTTGAGTTTCTAACTCCGTTTATTTTGAATTGTGGTCTTCCAATCTCTTTTTTTGTTTTCCATGGTTGGGTTTTGATCGAAGACTAACTGATTGAAAGAGTAAATCTTTGTCCAATAAATCTTATTAATTTTTTTGAAAGAGCAACCGAGTCTTCACACTAGTGTGATCCGGCTCTGGGACTACCGTATGGAGACTCTCATCTCTTGGTTCAATGAGCTCTATATACATGTATGGAGCAAATATTTGCCAGATAATTTATTTTAAAATTCCATGGACTTTAAATGACATTAAAAAATATGTAAATATACAGTGGTCAACAAATTCTCCGAATTTGGTTTGCGTGGCTAGACCTTGAAATTGATTTCTGTCCTCTTCAGTTTGGGTTTTGAAAGACAATGAATTTGAATTTCCTTTTTTACTGCTGAATCTATTAGAGAAATTGTAGTTATTTGATTGTTCTTCTTGAAGGTGCATAAAGTGAGAATCTAGCAAGATGTTTGGTTGCCGAGAAAAATTTAGGCGACAAACAAGAAAAAGAATTCAAGTAAATACTTTTTTTTTCTCTGTGTCCATATTTGCGTGTATTAATTGTATTCTTGATTGATGGTTTCCTAATGCAATGCCAAAATTTGGCGAATGATTGACACCAAATGTGTGCTGTCAATTTTTTTTGTTTTACGCTTCCAAAATTACACCAATTGAATTGAATGATTGAAAGTATTTGCACTCATTTTGGTGCTTCAGATTAAATGTGTTGTTTCATTGGTTTGATTCACTTCCCATAGATGCTTATCTTGCAATGAAAAGTGAGGTTGAGCATTAAACTATGGAATTAGAGAGGGAACAAGAATGTTCATAGCAATCGCAGAGGTGAGTTTATTGGTTTAATTCACGTCATTTCATTTGAATAACTTTTGGTTGGATGTGTGATATTTACACTCTTAATTGCCATTATTTATTTATTTTTTTTGATTGGCAAGTTTTGATGTAGCTTCACAAAGTGTCTCGAAATGGTGTGCAAATGGAGTTTCATGGAATTTTAGATCTACTCTATCAAGGATCAAAAAGGCTTGAAAGAACTTCATCGACATAATTAGTAATTTGATTACATAAGTTGTGTATAGAGGTTCATATTATTCAGGAATTATGTTTTTAGAGGCAATTCTATCAGTGTTTTTCTTAAAAGTGGGTCCTTATTGATTAACAATTTTTTCTTGCAATTTTTTGTTTGTTTCATAATGCCTTCAGGCACTAGTAATCTATATAATAAAGTACATGGAGTTTTGAATCTCAAAGACAAAAAACAGTTGAAATCAATTCTGACTTAAACCAAAGCCTCATCCAACAGACGATGATAACCCAACATAAAAAACGGTTCAGATCATTTCAAAATTTATTGATCCAATGCACCAAAATGAGTGTTGATTATTTTTTCCCACTCAAAAGTTTTCATTTTTACTTACCATCAATCACGCCTCAAATCTACCTAATCTCTTTATCATTCAAATCTCCTTTGTCTCTGTCTTCGTATCTCATTTTTAAACCTGTGTCTATCCCTCATATGTTCATTCCAAATCAAAGCCTCCCATCAAATCTTCTTTAAATTTTCAAAATTAAAGAAACTACTCAATTAGAATCCCAGTATCTCTTTTAAATGGCTCAATTGAACTATGCCCTAATCTCCTTTCTACCCCTTCTCTCACACACACACACTTACTCTCTCTTTGCCCTAAAATCCCCTTTGCTTACAGCCCCCTCTCTCTCCCACCATTAAACAACACCACCGCAACAACCCTAACCACCTTAGTCAGCCAGAGCCTCTAGCGACGAACCACTAACAAGACCCACCAGACCCACCAACGAGGGATCTCTTTCTCTTCGTTCTCTATATCCTTCCCCCACCTCTCTATTTCCCTCTCTCTATGCTTTTTAGCCCAACCTACCTCTATGCCATGATTGCCATCGACCTCGCCACCACCCTATGCCATCACCCAAGATCCTCACCACACTGCCCCCATAGACACCCACATATTCTCCCTCTCCCTCTATTTGTTTGTCTCTCTCTCTCTCAAAATAACATTATCCATGTTGGCATATTGGCTGTTTGAAGAAAGGCCCAAAGGTTCTTGACGTACGCTCTGTTTGTCTCTCTCCGACATACCACTAATCCTTTTCAATTATAAGTAAAACCATAAACTCATATTCCCAAATGTTTCTGGGATTAAGAAATTGAAATGGGATATTAAATTATCCCTATTACTGGGAGAGGCAGTGTGTTAAAAGGTACCACTAATAGAGATTTGGAGTAGAGGGGTTACCCTAATCTACCTTGAAAAGTTTTGGTTCCTTATATAGTCATGCCTTTCTAATTAAAATATTCAATTGGAAACTCCATTTAATATTTCATTCATTGGTGACTATCATAGAAATAGGAATTAGTTTGATTTGTATGTTTGATAAAACATTCATTTATGTTGATGGTTATCACTAAATCCATGTGATTACATTCTCATGAGCATGCAATTTTGAGCTTCTGGACATTTAAAAAACATAGAGATGTGCAACACAAGTGAAAGAATTAAAAAATGGTTATAATTGGTTTCAGATATTCATGGTTACAATATTTGTATCTTATGGGTTATTATATATTCTTTTTCTATCTTTTGCTATTTTTCTTTTTATTTTGATCGTTGTTGGTGATAATTGATATTGTTTCTTTGTGTCTTTTTTGAGGTAGGCATGCATACATACTTGCCGTAAAAAATATAAGGGTGCAGACTATGGCTTATACTGATGTGGAAATTGTCGAATCCAAGGAGTCTCAGTTAAATTCCGTTTTATTTATCTCTATTTGTAGAGGAATGTAAAAAAATATTTTTGTTTTTATGTTTGTGTACTGAAAAATGTTGATTTCTTTGGTTCAATTTTAGTTGAGAACACAATAAAATATGGAGATTTATTTGAATTTCATGACTTCAGAATAGTAGTAAATTGAGTTCATGATTATGACCAAATCTGAATAGAGGTCAAATCTTTTGTAAAAAATTGAAATATCTTGAAAAGGTCAGTGATTGGTAAATGTTAGTTGAATTTTAGATAGTTTCTGTGTATACGATGCATTGGGTTTCCGATCTAGCGGTAATTTTTAAGTTGATATTGCAATTCTTTTTGTTGAGATTAATGTGTGTTTATAAATTGAGTTTGTAATTTCAAGCCTGAACTGAAGATTTATTAGATATTTTTGGGAATAAGTTTTAAGAAAATATTTTCCATATTCTCCATCACTTTTCCGTGTTGAATTTTTAGTGAGTTCGATTTTCTGCAAAGAAAATTTTGATGCTTCGTGGATTGAATGCATTTTGTCTATGCTTTTAGGATCGGGAACTTTGCATGTACTATGTTTTTTGCTTGATAGATACATTAGGAAATATAGAAAGTGTAATCTATATTTATACACACTATGTATTTGTTTTCTAATTAATGATTTTTTTTTGTTACACAGTGCGTGAAGGGTAATATCTAGTAACTATATATAATACATGCATACATATATTTACATACATATACAAACACACACACACACACACACATAGACATATATGCATACACAGACAACTTCAAACATATAACTGTCCTCAGTTTGTATGCATCCTACGTTTTTCTGGGTTTTCCATATTAGCATGATTTCTATTGTATCGTGCCATATCCAACTCCTCTGTCTGTTTCATGCTTCTAGGGCTAAAAGAAATATGATTCAACAAATTTCTGGTCAACAAGTTTTATATGTGGCAGACAAAATGATCCCTCATGCATATTTTTAACAAACTTTTGAATCAGACTTTTGGAAGTAATTTGTTATTAAACGTTAAAAAGTTCACTCAAGAAAAAGACAATCTCCAAATAGACCAAGTACAAAGAAAGGAATGAACCTTGCCTTAACTCTTGCATTATAGCTGCTGCTTGGGAAGCAGTTTGTTGGGAATTTAAAAAAGTTGCTGGTATTCCAAACTTGACGTTTAGTGTGATTATCTGATCCTGAATAAGGGAAAGCAGGGGGGATATGACAACTGTAACACCTGGTTGCAGAGTTGCTGGAAGCTGCACAGTATGCAACACCTTATATCACAATATAGGCAAACAATAAAATACAACCTTCCAACATCCAAGCATGCACAAGCACCGAGTCTCTTGTAGACTTGTAGTCCTACGTCTTGAGGTCCAATATTAATTTTGTTGAAAACAAAAAATAGGAAGTACGAATTTAGACAATTTCCAAGGCCAAAAACAAAGGCAAAAACCTTTGCCATATCTTTTGAGGTTGAACGCATGCATTCATTTTTAACCATCCAAGTCCACCTCTACTCTTATGGTAAATAGCAACAAATTGATAAGAGTCTTATAGTTTGTAGCTTGATGTGCTTTGTCGCTGGTGGGTTATTCTGCTTGTATAGCCTATAACGTTTCATTCCGTGTATAGCTAGTTTTTGTAATGAATGGTGAGCAGTCTACTTAATTTAGAAGGCCCTCCATCCATTACTTCCTCTTGTTTGCATGTATGTTCTGCTTGGGGTATACCCTTGATTCATTGTCTTCTCCATTTTTTTTTTAGGTCAGTACATTTCCTTTTGTTAATCGAAAAAACCTCCAAGGCATTTGGGGTCACAAAATTGAAAAAACAGTCTAATGGACACACACCATATATATCCAGCCTCCATATCATAAACACATTGTAAGAAACGGGTAACAGATCTAGGGACCCATGTGTCCTTTGCAGCTACCTATATACAGGCTCCCCTACAGGCAATGTTATGCTTTAATCAGACCACTGACCTAGTATGCATCGATTCCATCCACTTTCTTTTGAAATAATTACAGGTGCAATTTGGCAGGTTAAGATGTCAATCCAATCTCAACCCAAGTTATTAAACTCCCAGCCTGAACCCAAACCTTCTTCTCGAACACATACTGCCAGAGTATACATTTCTGACTTCAGGTTCAAATAGGGTTATGATATTTGGGTTGATTCAAGTTTATTCTTGGGTCCAATTCTTGATGACACAAACAGTAATTTGTCCAAAAACAAAAAAAAAAAAAAAGAAAGAAAGAAAGAAACAGTCATCAACAACTTGACTAACTGGAATCCAATTTCATTTAAGCCTCAATACAATTTTATCCAAAATTTAGAACCCCACACAAAATTTTCAAATAGCAATAGAATTGTAATAAAAGCTCACCTCTCCTACAGAGATGGCTGATTATTGGAATCAATAGTATATAATTACTGATTAGGTGTAGCTGTTGAGCTCAACAGGAGCAAGATTCAAAGTTCTTTATGGGTTGAACAATATATTTCCTTGGCTTAAATTGCTTCCGATACTACCAAATCAGTTGTCGAGCTTCGATCACTAGAATATGATTTTCTTATCAGTCCACCGCTGGATGATTCTTTTTACTCATAGTAAGGAAAGGATGGTGGGCAGATTTATGTGGGTTGAACTCAGATACATGAAATTGGTGGAGATAAAATCAGTCAAAGATAACAAGGGAGAGGCAGAGAGAGAGATGGTTTTTAAAGGAAAAAAGAGTTTGTGACTCAAATAAGAAAAATACTAAGCACCTTTAAGCATGAAAAATGAAGCAGAAAATATTATGAACTTTAACTATGAGCTGCGAAGAAGAGGCTTGGGATGTGACTAGATCATGGCCTCATCGGTGAGAAGGAACAAGATAGAGGGGAGTGTGTGACGTAGACAAAGGGATGATAGCCCTAACTGTCTCTTATACATATACTATTTTTTGCCTTAACTTTCGGGTTGACCCATGTTGAAATCAAGTTGAAACCGATTTCATTAATTCAGTTTGGGTTCCGGTTTAACCCAATGCACTTGAAGCTCTAACTTGAGTACTGCCTAAATTTTAATCGGGTTGAGAATTTTTCGCCCAAAAACAACACGAGTATTGTAAATATCTGCCCAATTATTGAATTTTTCGAGGTGGGTTTGGGTTAGGCCACCCAAGTTGCACCTCTACAAATAATGAGTCGTTGTATCTTCTATAGTGATTAAAGCACCACAAAGCTTATTAGATAAATCCACTAAGTGACCTAAAGTATGTACATATGTCCAATCAGGTAGAATGCACTGCACCACTCCAACAAGACGTAGGGTTTTTTTTGAACAATTTACATCAAGTTGAAATGAGACATCAATAAGGAAGATTTGCTTCCCAAGAAAAGATAGAATACACAAAGAATGCATGGGAAAGAAGTCAAAACTACTCTCAGGGAAGAGAAAAGGAAGGATAGTGATGTTTTGCACATGTGCTAATGGAATGATTTGATCTAATTTAAAGTTGCCGAAAAGAAAAGGTGAGCTCCAAGAAAAATGTGTATGAAAGTTATAAAAATTGACATTATTGACATATGTTTAACGACAAATGTGGCATTACAAAAACCATTAAGTTGTATTTGATGTTAACTTGTTTATATAAGTTTACACCATATGTAGAAATATCTTTATCACAAAGTCATTGGATAGAAGAGTCAACATCCTTGGCTAAGTGAGTTTGCATGGTAACCACAAGGAAGGGAAGCAGTTAGCATGTTCCAGTATGGTGCACATGTATGTCTCTACATACATACAATGATATATTATGCAGAGACTCACTCCCCCAGATGCAAACCACCTAAAACTTCCAACTGTCTACACAAAAGGAAGGATCAAATCCATGAGAATTATTGTCTATGTATTTCCTGAGACATTAGCATACAAATTCAGGTCATTTCACATCTAGTCTTCTTGGCACTTGAACCAATAAGACATTCAAAAAGCTATAATGTCCTAGTAACAAAAAAACCTAACCTGGTAACATAGACTTTTACCACCTCCAGTGGGCATAAGAATGAAGCAATCATGCTTTGCCAAAGATGCTTTACAAGCCTGGTACTGCAAGGGCCTGAAGGTACTGTTTCCAAATATTACAATGTTTGCCAACTCAATATCATCCAAAGCCTGTAACTGTTCATAACTGAGAGTTCCATGTTTATCTCTTGATGCCCTGGAATATGTCATTTTATTGTAACTTGATGAAACTGAACCTTGTGTAATGCTGCTCGCACCATCCTTCAACAAAAACAAAAAATTTCAATATATTGCATAATATAGGACTCACCTCTTACAGGGAACAAGGCAAAAATAAGTTAGCATATTATATAAATGTGTCTTAGTGCATGCATGCATAAATGTATTAATCTGACTCTGCTGGCATTTAGATATAAATAGATGTATTGCTGCAATAGCAAATACGGATGCAAGTACCACAAAAAGGTGATAGTAATATAAGAAAGGCAATTTCCTATAAAATGTTTATAAGGAGTGTTTTTACCAAAGAGTTTGATGGATGTTTGCAGGAACTTTGTGTGAAGGCCCAATTGCTCCTGTCAGGATGAGAGGAGGGGGTAGATTCGAATTTCTTTTTGTTTTGAATTTCTAAATCTTCTTTTTCACTGTCACTTGAAGAATCCAGTAACATCAAATTTTGAGGTTTCTGAGATTCGGGTGAGTCTTGTATAACATGGACGTTGATCCTTGCACTGCCACTGTTATCTGCTTCGTGATCGTTGAGAACATCCTTGTCAAACATGTCAGCCAAAGTTCCACAAGCCTCCGATTCTATGGCTTGTAGGTCATCCCAATCCTCGGTATCTTGCATAGATTCGGCCAGAGCCGCAAGAAAATCGTCACCACAGTGCTCCACCGTGATGAAATCTTGTCCATCATCTCCTTCACAAAATAACCATGGCTTTAATTTCTCAAATCAACAAAAAGCATGTCATGAAATCCGTTTCTTCTCAAATTTAAAAACATTAACGCAAAAAGTTATGCACACAATCGCATATAAATATGCATATAAAAACGCACACGGACAATATATATATATTCATATGTGAGTGTAAGTATTCTTGGGTTAGGGTTTATGATCGAAGAGTAAATGGATACCGTAGAGAAGAACGAGACGGTCTAAGCACTTCCTTGCTGATTCTTCATCGAATCCGAAATCCAGAGCCAAGCTTATCAGCCTCGTCTTCTCGACCTCCAGATCCTGATCGTCCATTTTCGTTCTGGGAATGCTCGTCCGTGAATTTCCCGCGCTTTCGACTAGTACAAAACAATACAAAGTGCAGCTGATATTGCAGCGAATATATCCGTGAGACGACACCGTATTGATTCCGTTTGAAGGTTTGCCACCATGCTCAACCAATCGACATATATGGCGAGCGTCGTCGTTTTGTTGCACTTAGGGCTTTGGGTATGGAAGTAAAAAGGACTGAAAGTTAAGAAGCAATACAATATATTAATATTTTTTGGCAATAAGGACAATGACAAATCTCTTAAGTTATTAAGGATATTTAATAAATAATATTTGATAAACAAGTACATATACCACTCGCATTTTTTTTTAATTTACTCTGTTGTCCTTCTCCTCAACCAACGAGATTTAGGGCATAAAAAATACTACTATTTTATTATATTTTTTTTTTAATTTCAAATTTTATGCCTTGAATATCACTTCATTAATGAATTTATTAACATGTGGACGGCTTACTTCATGATCTACATATCTATCAACGTTTTTTTTGTTGTCCATCAATTTTTTTTTGAATTAAATTGAAATTAAGTTCATGTTATGTGCTGTTTAATTAGTTTGCTACATGAGATTTTGATTATACTCTTTCTGTTTTTATTTTTCTTTTTCTTTTTCTTTTTTTCAAAATTGTGTTAATATACCAAAATTTGTCAATTCATATAGTTGGATGGAAATTATTTTAATTATCAGTGTTTTTTGATTAGTTTGATACATGAGGTATGAATTGTAGTTTTTTGCATATCCATTAATGGTGTTCTTCAGTTTCTTATGTTTTGATTAATATTACTCCATTTTTTCTTACATAATTTGAGTTAACTTTTCAAAGTTAGCATTTGTGTATCCATTTAGTTGTTCAATTTTTGGTTATTTTTATGTGTGGTTCAATTCATCTTTTTTACTTGTCATTTGTGGTGTTTGTAGTGTGATTGAAATAATTTGTATTTTTGTTGTAAGACCTCATACTATAATTAAATATAAATAATAGTCTTAAGAATACCTATAAAATGATTAAAATAATGATAGGATTTTTGAATCATTTTTGAAAAAATGTGTATAAAGTTTGAGTTTCGTACGCATTGACTTTTGAGCCAAATTTAATTTTGAAGGCATTTAAACTTGAGAGTGGTAGTTAAGTAAGTTTTTAAATGTGTTTAGATTAAAATAATATTATCATTGAATCCAAAAGATTGATAAACCTTGAGTTAGGTGATATGAGATATATCAGAAGTTTGAAGGCATTTCAGGGTTAAAACTCATTTTGGAAAGAATTTGTGTAAAAAAGAATTTAAAATATCTCAATAGTCTGGCCATAATTTGTTATCCCGATATCCGATTTGTCAGATTATTATGGCATTATAACTAGATCTATCAAAGTCCGACACAAATTAAGTGGGTTTTTGTGAGATTTTAACGGGTTTGGGTGGTAAACGGGTTAACTCACAAAATACGTTTAATAAGCGGGTTGTGTTCAGGTGAGACATATCAACTCGTTGATCACCCGTTAAAAAAAATAATATAATTATAAATTAATAATTATTTTTAAAAAATTAGCCATAATTAAAAATATTATAGACAAATATACTGTAAATGAATAAAGAAAAATCTTAGTTCAAAAAAAAAATGAACAAGCATTTGAAAGCCTTCAGCTTTTTTTTTTTTTTTTTTCTTATAATGAACATGCACAGTGAACATACTGCTAAGTGGATGAGGGTCCAATGGCCATTAAGTAGAGAGTAGTCATTTATTGTCGTTGCAGTTCGATGTGGGAAGATAGTTTTTGATGAACCTGTATAGTGAATATATAGTGAAAGCTTTGGTCTGAATCCCATATCAATAAATTCAAATGAAGGAGATCTCTCATGCCTATAAAAGGCTACAACCCCTTCCTTGTGTCATTCAACCTTCTCACTTGCTTTTGCATGTGACAGTCAGCTGAAAATCTTTTAATTTAAGGAGTACAGTTGGTGTGGATAATTAATAGAGTTTAAAATTTTAATAAAATAGTTTTTTTGTGTGAGTAATTTTTTTGTGTTAATTTTATATAGTATTTTTAAACAAATAGATAAACGGGTCTAAATGATGGTTTATCGTGTTAATTTGATTTTATCCAATACAATTCGTTTAAAATTAAACAAGTTAAACGAGTCGTATCATGTTACCGGTTTATTAAATGGTTCATATTTGTGTTAAAGTTTTTTACTCGTTTATTAAACGTGTTATGTATGAGTTTATATATTTTTCACTCGTCACACATTTAATCCGACACTCCTAATTATAACCTAGACTTCAAGAGTTATAAAATTGTATTTTATGGAATTTTTGTGAATTGACCTCTAACTAAGGTGATATTTGATAAAATTGAAAACTGAATGCTGAATTTTTTAATTCGTAAACTGTTTGGTATCAATTGAAATTTAAGTATTGAATTGAATCAAACTATTTGACAAATATAAAGAGCTGAAGTGAAAAATTATTATTATTCTAATTTTACCTTTCTCTTTAATCATTTTTTAAAACCTGAGAAAAGTTAAAATCTTAATTAAAAGGGTAAAATAGTAATTAGTTGTTAAAGCACAGGTCAAAAACGTAAATTTTATATAATTCAGATGACGAAACAGATCTCACCGTTGTATTCATCTCGCAAAATTTAGCTATCCAGTCAATTTTTGTGGAATTTTGAGACAATTAGATTTTCACGTGTTATGAAGCGATCAGGCGTTGCACGACTAAAATAATTGCAATCAGATTTTATTCGTGGGACTCAAAAAATAATTTAAACTTAGTTCAATAAAAATATACTAAACTTAATACGAGACGAGATATAATTGATTCGGAATAAAACTGAAACCGTTAAAAATAAAACATGTGGCGTGATGTGGGCCAAACATTTAAAACTATATAAAGTAGAAGACTTTTGTGTTCCAGTTATTTTGTACTCCAACATTCAGCTGAGACAGAGAGATAGAAAAGAGAAAGAAAAAGAAAGAAAGAAAATAAAAACTTTCATCTTCCTTTTTAGATCTACAAAGATCTAACCGTTGGATCGATTTGGACCAAGAATTAAAGTTGCTATACGCAACGAGAGCCACACATCCATACCAAAGATCACATCAAAGATGAGAATTTAGGAATAAAGGTTGGGAAGCTAAATTCTGGCTTTCTTTGGAGTGCTACTATGTGAGCTCACGCTACGAGAGGTAGGGTTTCCCTTATTTTGATGTAATTTCAACCTAAAAAATGACATATGAAATAGGTGGGTGTCACGGGGTTTAATTTTTCACAAAATTTCTGCCTCGTGATGGCACTAAGATCCTACACTTAGTCTTAGCCAAACACTTAGAATATATACAGAATGCACATCAGAACAGAGAAAGTACAGTAAGCAAACACACAGATATAGTACATCAGATTTACAGGCCAACAGGTCGAACCTTTCTTTCTCAACAAAGTATAAGGAACTTAGCCTTGGGTCTGTTTACAAAAATGTGCCCAACTTTATTGGTTGCACTACAGACCCAAGCATCCCATTTATAATGTTTAGGGTGGCGGTTACAAGCCCAATCACCTAGGCAACTGCATACAATTCAAATCCTCCCAGAAGTCTGCTATGATTGGATGGCAAAGGAAGTTGTAACTGGTGTCTGCAACTTCCTTGCATGCTTGTTTGAATCTAACTGAGACCCCACATGTTGTGCACCTGCCAGAAACCGCACAGAACTACCATCATCTGTAGGGCACATGCCTAACGTTCTCACATGTTGTGTATGTGCCATGAGCCCTCAGCATCTGATTGTAATGCATTCATGCCTAACCATGGCCCAGCCCATGGCTCAATTCTTCAAGCTAGCATTGCCCCACAATTCAAGCCACCCGACTTTCCTGCTTGCATGCTGACTTGTACCCACATGCCTATGTGCATAAAATGCCTCCCTCAACCATGTATGAGACTTCTGCCACTTTGGCTAAGGCATGGGCGCCTTTGGGTGAGGTTGCCCTATGCCAATGCCGCCAACGAGCTAAGGGGGTAACACACCACCCTCACTAGAAGAGCTCGACGTTCTCGTCGAAAGGTTGTTCCAATACTCCTTGATCTATTTCTTGAACTCCCAAAGTGGTTGATGTCCCATAGCCAACTCACTGGGACTCATTCCTGTTATTGAAAATCTGTGCAAGTTGTAGCAAAATTGGGCAGTGTCTATAAGCTCTATCCAATTTTTTTGACTTGCAGTGATACAGTGCTGCAGGTAGTCCTCTAGTAAGATATTAATCCGCTCAATTTGTCTGTCAGTTTGGGGATAACTCCCTATAGAGAACTTCAACTCATAATCGATGAGGTTGAATAACATAGTCTAGAATCTGCTAGTGAACCTGGTATCATGATCATTGACTATATCTTTTGGCAATCTAAAGTACTTCACCACGTACTTGTAAAACAGTTCTGCAACAACATCCGCAGGGCAAACATGAGGTGCAGGAATGAACACTGCATACTTGGAGAAACGATCGACCACCACCATGATTGAATGCATGCCATCAATCTTTGGCAGATTGCAAATGAAATCCATCGAAGCTGACTACCATGGTTTGTTAGGAATAGGCAGGGGTTGAAGCAAACCTGTTCCCTTTTTCTTCTCAACCTTGTCAAGTTGGCACACAAGACAGGTTTTGACATAGGCCTCAACATCATCTTCCAACTTAGGCCAGTAATAGGAGCAATCCAGTAATGCAAGCCAAAATTCACCTTCGTAAGCCTATGTCAAAACACTAATACCACGTGTCCCAAGAATTTCACCTTCGTAAGCCAAAATTCACATTTACTGAACTTGGTGTACAACTGGTGGTCTCTCAAGGTCTGCAGAATGATCCTCATGCTCCTCCTCTGTTCTGGAGTAGATCAGGATGTCGTCAACAAACAACTATGACAAATTGATCTAAATAGGGTTTGAACACCCTATACATGAGATCTA